GTCATTTTAATTGCTAATTACTCTTTGGCTAGGGACCCGGGAGGACAGAAAGTGAGCTCTCTCCTTTACCACAGCTAAGAAGTTTTGGGAGAGATTTTGAGAATTCAGTAATTAAAATAACAACAGCATTTGAAAGCTGAGGCTTGTGTTGGGGACAGGGAAAGGGGCAGTGGCCCCGTGGTCTAGTGGACCAAGGCCAGGGTGACTCCAAAATGTCTGAAGACTGTTCCGGATGTGAGTCTGTGGGCCTGACAAGGCTGTACAAAGCCTCAGGCTGAGCTGGGGGGCTCAGCCTGCCTGAGGCCTGGGGGTCTGGCCTCTCTGTGCCCACACGACTGCTTCCGGGTGTCTACATGCCTGCTTCCCGGGTTGCTTTTGCACTAAGTGTTAAGGATTACTTAAGTAATTAGATAGCTTCTTAGCTGAGAGGGGGGTGGGAATGGAGCAGAACTGGAATTTGAAATGCTACCACCTTCCCAGCTGCTTCGAAAATTAATCAGCTAGGCCTCTCTGGAATCAGCTAGTGGATTTTTTAAAATGGCATCAAGAAGGTACCAGCACAAATGGGGCTATTCAGTTGTGATTAAGTACAGTATGGATTACAGAGAGGAGTTCAGGAAGTTTTACCCGTCCCAGGGGAATTCTACTCCCCTTTTCCCCACCTATTACTATGAGTCCCACAATTGGTGGAGGGGCATTTTGCAAGGGAATTGAGGTATCTGCCTTGGTTGGGGCTTGGTGGATACAGGGAACTGAGCGAAAGAAGGGAGGGTTGGGGGGACTGAGAAATGGAGGGAGGTGTTGGAGAGCTATCCCAGCTTGGGGTAACTAGGTAGACCTCTGATGTGGCCAATATTTACCAGGCCACATTGTTAAAAATTACACCACGGATGGCCTGGAGTAGTAAAATGTGCTTCTTGGAATTCTTTGCTTGCAGGCAGGCAAAATTAATAATCACTATAGGTAAAACAAGGAAAATAATGCATTAAAAAATAGAGGAGAAATGATGCTGTGACTATGTAATTATTTTGCCTCCTTTTTTGGGGACAAAATTCTTGAATGGGCTCTTTACTATAACTCTCTCTTCCCAATTGAGCTCCCCACCGTGCTGTTGTATCTTTTTTACAGCCCCTAACAACTCACACCAGTAACACAATTATCTCAAGATATTTATAACAAGAAATTACTTTTCTATTTTCTCCGCTCTCCTAATAACCTTCTTTTTAGGGGAAGGTGGAGGGTGAGCCTTGGACACCTGCACTAGGTCAGGACTTAGGAAGCTAGGAGTGTCCCCCTGTTCCCTTTATGAGTTGGGAGGAGGTTGGTACATTTGGTTGGTAACTGTGTTGCTGGTTAGGGAGACTCGGGTTTGCTCCTTGGATTTAAGGAAAGCCAGAGAATAGAAGCCATTGTTTGCTGTCTGTAGGCTTTGTCGACCACGCTCACCCCCTCCTGTTCATACTTTTTAAAGCAGTGAGGCGAGGTAGACAGCGTGTGTCACAGTACAGTAAAGGAGGGGAAGATCTAAAAGCCAAAAGAGAAGTTATGATAAGTGAGGTTTGGGGAGAAAAGTTGGGCTTGCCACTTTCAAAGTCTCAGAAGAGCTGAGAAATAGAGGGAGAAGGGGCCACTAGGAAGTTTTCTTTTCTTTTTTTTTGGGGGGGGGAGGGTGGAATGAAGGATAAAGGGGCAACCAGAAAGCTGGGTTCTGGGGATCTTGGGACAACAGAGGTGGTGAAATTACTTAAGGAAGGAGGGTGTATGTATGCACCCCCATCCCTCCCAAACTGCTCTATTCAGTGCCCTTAGGAGCCATGAAATTCAGAGGTCCCTTTCCCTCACCTCCACACTTTAGGTATAAGTCTCCTCTCTTCTCCACAGCTCTTGGCCTCTACTCCTTTCTCCACTATTTCTCCCTTTTCCTTTCCCTGGTTCTTGATATTTTTGCCTTGTGGTTCCCCAACTCATCAGACTCACCAATTCTCCCAAGACAGACCAAAGCAGGCTCTTCCAGAGGGTGGGAACTTCTGTGGGACAGTTCTCTGGAAATGTGGGTGTAATGCTGGTTTTAGAGTTTACGGCAGTTTGATCGAGCTCTAGATGGATTTTTTCACCCTGAGAGCAGGGCCCAGAGAGCCCATGGACCTATGCTTTTGAGCCACAGTTTGACATGCCCTTCTCTCCTTCTGTTTTGTCTTAGGGGGAAGACTTTAACTAGGGGCGCGCAGATGTGTGAGGCCTTTTATTGTAAGAGTGGACAGACATCCCAGATTTCAGGCAAGTTCTGCAGTGGCTGCTTTTCGTTCAAAACCAGAAAGGGTTAAAACAAACTATTTCAGTATGCTTCTTCATTATAGTTCAGATGGAAGAAAAAAAATTCAAAATTGAGTCATCAGTAGGTTTAAAAACTAAAGGATTTAGAGGAAACTGGGAATATTGGAGTATTTTATCCGAAACCCAAAGGGTAGATTTTGCATGCACTGGAGGGCAGAGCAGGATGACCCTCAGATCGCCCCAAGTGGTTGAGTGGATCAACTCCTAAAGAAGCGAGATTCTCCTGTCCTGGCCCAGGTCCTCATCGGCTGGGAATTTAGGCCTACCTGATGCAACAACTCAGGATTAACCCTATTTTCTTGATAACAGAGCCCCATATTCGAGCCCCGTGGGATCCCGCGGCCTCCAGCCAGCGCCAGCATGCAGAACAGTAAGTGCCTCTGGTCTTTCTTGGACTTCGGGCTGTGGGCGCGCGGACCCGAGGGTCAGAGGAGTACGCAGAGGCTCGCGGCGCTGTACTGGGCCAGGCCGCCTGCCGGAGGGAAGAGGCCGGGGAACCTGCGGCTGCGCCTGCTCCGCGCACTACAGCCCAGGAGGGGAGGGCGTTTACTCTGCTGTTCTGGATCCTGGAAGGGCAGGGAATAGCCTGCTGCAGTTTTCCAAGCTGCGGTAGAGAAGCCCTATCCCTCCTCCCCAATCCTGGAACTCACACCCCCTCCCAGCCCCTGCCCGGGCTCTGACCCCGGAGAGAGGGGCTGGGCTGAGCAGGGCGGGGCGAAGGTTTCTTCTAGTTGCGGGAGGAAAAGGAGGCCCCTTTGGGCTTAGCCAAGACTGCACGTCTCCACCGACCGGGCGGGGTGGGGGGCTTCCCTCCCCAAGTCAGTCTCAGGGCAGCTCCTCCCCTGCCCACCCCTACTACTGGCCTAGAAGGAAAGGGAGCAGAGCACCCAGGCCTGCAGCGGGGTGGGGGCACAAACTTGCACCGTGGGGCTGTTACAGAGTTGGGTTTTCTGGTCTGGGAAGAGGGTGGGGGCCGTGTTTAGAAACTGGAAAAACCCTGCCCTGGCAGCTGCAACTGCGTGGATCCTGGTCGCCTCAGGGTCAGGTGTTTTTGATTCCAAGGGTCTGTGTCTCCCTTCTGTCCTCTGCCCAGACCCCTAGGGCCCCCCCCCACCTTCCTACCTTCCTGCTTGGCCAGTGGGTGCTGGTATGTGGCAGGGCTAGTTTAGAGCTCGGGCCTGGAAGCCTGGAGGCCCGGTGAAACTAGGCCTGGGTTGAGGCACAGGGCTTCAGTGCTCTACTGTACTCAGTATATGGAAAGGCCTAGGTCTTCCGGCAACCTGCCCTTGCCGAACCATTAAGACTTAAGAGGGTTCTCAGCGCCTTATCCATCTGTTCTGGAAACGCTGGTCGCCCCCTGGCGCCTCTGGGGCTGGCAGGCGCGAAGCTCCCGAAAGTGCACAGAGGTGGAGAGCTTTGTGGCGGTAGTTGTACAGAACCAACCCCAGCGGCTGGGGCCCTGGAGTGCAAACTCCCCAGCCGCAGGCTCTGTCGGGTGGGCACCGGGCAGGGCGCGCAGTGCAGAGTGTTTGCCGCTGTGGCCTGGCTGGAGGCCCCGAGGGGCGCGGGGTCGCAGGCCGGCCCGCAGGGCTTTGTGCCGCCAGCTCCCGTGTGTGCGCGAGGCGCAGAGCATCCAAATTGACACCATATGTTTTCCTATTAGAGGCTTCGCGGTCGAATTCTAGGCGCATAATCATCGCCACTGGGCGAGAACGCCAGCCGTCCCTAGGGAAGGGACACAATGATTGAGGCTTAACCTCTGAAGGGGAATTTAGAGCTGCGTCTCCTCGCTGCCATTTCGATGCTGGCAGAGGCTCCCTGGCCCTGGCGTCTCCTGGGCGAGCACCCGCCAGCCTTAGCTGGGGAGGTGGCAGTCGTGGTGTTATTTTTTTGCAATAGGGGCAGGAGAGAGGTTTAGGTTTAGGCGGCCTCACACGCCTTGGCATTCGTAGACTGGGAATTGCCCTGACTGTGCGTGAAGTTTGGAAAGTGCCTCTCGGTCTCTCTCTGGGACAGCCTTTCTTTTTCTGGGAAGGCTCTTTTTGCCCAGAGATGAAATTCCGTAGCCAGAGCGCTAGATGGAACTTAGGAGGCAAAGGAAGGCAATAAAGGGAATTTGGGAGAAACCGGAAGCGCGGGCCCGGCCTTGCTTTGCTGGAGAAGTGGTGTCCCCGCAATGTCCCCGCTTGCGCTGGGCCCGGCCACAGCCCAGATCCCCCAAACGCCTGTCACTTCTCATCGAGTTGAGGCTATGCCCCCTCCTCGGTGAGCCCCCCCACCTTCAAGCCTTCGGCTACCCTGAAAACGCGGCTCCCCTAGAAGGGGAAACGAGTGCAGTTCCATCTCGTCTGAGTGATCTACAAATAGGGACGGAAAGGGTCGTTTTATCACGGTCCCGTTTGTCGTGACGATGCAATTTCCCGGAGCGGAGCACTGTCACAAAGTGACAAGGCTGCCACAAGCGCCCCGACTGATCTTTTCAATTAGCCTTCCATGCATGATCCGGAGCGACTTCCGCCTATTTCCAGAAATTAAGCTCAAACTTGACGTGCAGCTAGTTTTATTTTAAAGACAAATGTCAGAGAGGCTCATCATATTTTCCCCCCTCTTCTATATTTGGAGCTTATTTATTGCTAAGAAGCTCAGGCTCCTGGAGTCAATTTATCAGGAGGCTCCAAGGAGAAGAGAGGAGAGGAGTGAACTGCCGAGCAGGGAGCCACGTCTTCTCCGGGGAGGGCTGCTCTCTAGAGTCGGGGCTGCAGGTTGGAGATTTTTAAGGAAGTGGAAATTGGCGATTGGCTTTATTTGAGTGCCTGTGGTTTTCGGGGAGGGGGCTGCAGAGAGGTGCTAACTCCCTCTCCCTATTCTCTAAGATGGGACAATGGGATGAGGTTGTGAGATACCAAGATAAAGGAGGGATGGGGGACACTGTAATGTGGTCTTTTGTTTTTCTTTCCTGCTTTTTATTTTTGCTAATATCTGTCCTTGGTTGAGGGGAGGGCGGAGTTCAGTGGCGGAAGTAAAGCGAGCAGTGACCGGAGCGGACAGAGTCCAGCTCTCGGCCTCCCTTGCGGCAGCCGGACTCCTCTGTGACTGAAGCCGAGCCGGGGCTGACTCTTCAACTTCTACAGCGGAGGTGCGGAAACCCGGACTGGGGTTCCCTAGCCACAGATTGGCTGCTCTGGTTCTTCTCTACTCCTTTCCCTTCCTTTCTTCTATTAAAACAAAACAAAACTAACCCAAACCTGGTGTTTGTGCGGGGCCTTCGCCAGAGTTTGGATTGTGACGCAAACATTTCTGATTTGAGCGTCCAGGGAGCATTAAAGGGCTGTAGGATTCGCTTATCACTCTTGCAACACCGCAGAGACCTTGGAGCCTCAGTGTGGGTTCTGTGGAAGTCATGGTTTTCGGTGACACTCAAAGGAGATCTTTGTGAGGAGGTTTTTAGAGCCGGTTGTTTGCACTCGGTGGGTTCTGGAGTGTTGATGGAGAGGGGCAGCGGGCTGGAGGGCACTGCTTGGGCGATGGTGGTAATGAGGGACGTGGTGCTTGTTGGTTGTTAGGAGTCTGACTCCAAGGTGCTTCTGCAGTCCAGAGGGCAGGAGCACCACTGTGTTTGGGGCTGGACTGCCTGATGCCCTGCGTGGCTGGTGGTCCCATTGTCGTGTTTTGATCGATTGCAGGGACCTGATCCCCGAGGTTGGCATGGGTTGGCAGAGGGCTGAGGATGCATTGCGGTTGTCTCCTCCTCCTCTTCCTCTTCTTTCCCTTTCCTCTTCCTCCTCTTCTCCCTCCTCACTCTGCTCTGCTCTCCTCTCCTTTCCTCTACTCTCCCTTTCCTCAGGTCACAGCGGAGTGAATCAGCTCGGTGGTGTCTTTGTCAACGGGCGGCCACTGCCGGACTCCACCCGGCAGAAGATTGTAGAGCTAGCTCACAGCGGGGCCCGGCCGTGCGACATTTCCCGAATTCTGCAGGTGATCCTCCCGGCGCCGCCCCACTCGCCGCCCCCGCGGCCCTCCACTCTCAACGCCCTCTCTTCATTTCTTACTGTAAACGCTGCTAATTATGGACCCCCACCCTCACCCACCCCAGTCCTCAGTTCCCAATCCCCACCCTACTCCCCTGCCTTCCCGCTTTCCCTTTTCCTTCCGCCACCCTTCCCAATCTGTTTCAACCTGGGTCAGTTATATAAGATAACTCATCTGCTTAAGCAAAAAAAAAAAAAAAAAAAAAAAGGGAATTGAAAATACTGTTGTCTTTTCATTTGGTAAAGACATTCTGGTAATAGTTTATGAACTGTAATGAGCTGAGTTATATAAACCGTCACAATTTCATTCTGCTCTCCCCTATCCCATGGTTACCCCAGATTTTTAGATATTTGTTTGCGTTCTTCATATTCATGAAGAATATATATTGATTTTCAAAGGCAACTGCTATTTACCCCTCCCTAACTCACATTTACTCAATTGGGCACTTTTTTAAGGAAAAAGAAGTTAAAATTGAGTTTATTTTCCCCCTTTGCTCTTTAAAACATAACACCACTTTAAGCAAGGTCAGCACAAAAAAAATAATCTGACTTCGTTTTGATGCATCTTCAGGCAGTATTTAAGGAAAAGTATTTTTTTAAAATAAAACAGCTTTTAAATTCGTTTTTTTAGTTCAAACTGTTTGAAAGTATCATATTTGTAGTTTTTAGGGCTACAAATGTAATTTTAAGAAAAAAGCTCTCTACAGTAAGTTCTCGTACCATTGAAGGTATATTTTTGTGTTATAGACCCATGCAGATGCAAAAGTCCAAGTGCTGGACAATCAAAACGTAAGCTTGTCATTGTTTAATGCATACTTAAACAATTTTATTTTTGTCTTGAAATTATTAATAATGTGGTTTTTTGTCCACTTCCCCTATGCAGGTGTCCAACGGATGTGTGAGTAAAATTCTGGGCAGGTATTACGAGACTGGCTCCATCAGACCCAGGGCAATCGGTGGTAGTAAACCGAGAGTAGCGACTCCAGAAGTTGTAAGCAAAATAGCCCAGTATAAGCGGGAGTGCCCGTCCATCTTTGCTTGGGAAATCCGAGACAGATTACTGTCCGAGGGGGTCTGTACCAACGATAACATACCAAGTGTAAGTTTATTGAGAACATTCGCCCTCCCTGCCCTAAGCTCCATGCTCTCTTTACCACCTTCTTTACCTCCTCCCACTCTGCTCTTTCCAAGTGCATCTCTGTCTCTGTTCCCTGCCTACTCCTCATTTGTCTCCTTTGTACCTGGGGGTATTGAGAGGAATGCCCTGACCTTTTTTTTTTCTTTTTGTTACTGTCTGGAAAATGGGAGTCAAGTGTGGGAAGTTATTCACCTCATTTGCATGCTGCAAAACAGAGGGCAGAGGCACCTGGGGAAAGGCACATGAATCAGGAAGGAAAATGAAAATGAAAACCAGATTCTAACTTGCTCCAAATCCACCTGCCTGAATCTTCTTTCAGGTGTCACACACCCATTTCCGCTGTAATATAAAGCAAATAAAAATGAAAGCAAGCTCTACACCACCTCTAAAGCTTTTTTCGGGAAGTCAGTTAACAAAGCAAAGCACCTATGTGAGTTAGGTCACCACAGATACCAAGCAACAGTGAAGGACTCCCTTTGGCCCAGATCTCTACCCAGCTCAATTTTCATGCCCAAAGTGATGGCTGTCATTTTTTTCCACAGTGTATCTGCAAATGCACTCACTGTCCCAAGCTTTTTAATATAGTGAGGATTGTTTTTTAAGGCATTGGATGAGCTGAGATGGGTGACTGTGTCTTCCGGAGACGCTACCATTTGGTTTAATTTTGGTTCCATTTGCAGGTGTCATCAATAAACAGAGTTCTTCGCAACCTGGCTAGCGAAAAGCAACAGATGGGCGCAGACGGCATGTATGATAAACTAAGGATGTTGAATGGACAGACCGGAAGCTGGGGCACCCGTCCGGGTTGGTATCCGGGGACTTCGGTACCAGGGCAACCTACGCAAGGTAAAACCCAAGTGGCAACAGTCTCAACTCTTCTTATAGGAAGCCCGCCTGCCTATCCTCTCCTGCCCCACACTTTTCTTTCTTTGGTTTTCTATGCTTGGGGAATATAGTAGGGGAAACTGCATTTGAGGTCCTGGGACACATCATTTACACTGTATGTAGGTGTTGCTGAACCATCTTGTTGACCCGGGAATGTGAGGATTGTGCATGCCAAAAGTAGTATGAACATGGCTGGTGTATGTAGGGGGCAGGATGTGTGCACGTGTAAGAGCAAGCCTGGCGGTGCACCATTGAAATTTGACATTAAAATGCAGGGAGAGGCCCCTTGCAGTAGAAGTGTGACAAGTTAACACACTGACAGACTGCAAGGTAAACATAATTGTATCGTTTTGCTTTTTGCAATAATGACAAATTATGTGACTATGAGTAGGGTAGGGTGCATCCAAGGGGGTGAGCAGCCAGATGCCAGTGGAGAATGGGGTATGGCAAGTGGTGGTCTCCCAACTAAAACAACCCCACCATCCGTGCCCCTTCCTTGCCCCTTTCACACCTCTGGGCCCTCAGTCTACACTCTCCCTGGGTGGCGACTAGGTAGAAGTGGTGGGGTGAGGATATTGTGAGCAGGACTGCAGGGGGCGACTCAGCGGTTAGGAGGCAAGACAGACCCTGGACCCCCAGGTTCCCTGCAAAGGGATGGAGGAACAGGAGCAAGTGGGGGAGGGGGCGTCAGTTGGCTCCCCTTCTACGAGCACACCGAGCTTGGTCAAGAATAGGAAACAGTTTACTCCGAAGATTAATCGGTATTTGTTGTCCTCGTGACAAGGAGATAATATGCGGGATAATGGGACGTGGCTTCTCACTCCCGGGTGCACAACCAGGCCTGGGGGCTCCAGGCCAGGGGCGGCTGCGCAGGGACAGCGATGAGGCTGCCCGCGCGCTGTGCTCTCTCCGACCAGCTCCGGATGCCCGGCGCCTCCATGGAGTTGGGTTAGGGAAGGGAAAATCGGTAACAGTATGCGAAATATCTGGTACAAAGGATGCTTCTGTCACTCGCAAGAATTTGTTATGGGAACAATCCTGTCGCTCTGTAATTGCTCATTAGAGAACGTTTTGTTTCTCATTAAGGCGACATGAATAAGCGTCTAGTTGAAGGAGACAGCTGTAGAAATGTTCCACAAGAGACCTCTGGACACGATTCGGCACCAATTGCCAATTAGACATGTCAGTTTTAAGAGCAGAAAACAATATAGGACGGACACTGGGAAGATAGGGAGCAAAGCGCTCGCTTCTTGTTTCCCAGCGCGGCCACTCTGCCGGCCGAGGCCTCCTGCCGCGCAGGGCCCAGGCTCCCCTGAGCGACCCCGCCCGCAAGGCCCCGAACCCCGGCCTCCGGGAGCGCAGCCGGCGCCTAGGCCCAGGCCAGCGCCCACTTCTCCTGGACTAGCGACTGACTCATCTGAGGGTAGCCAACCCTACCCCTTTCTGACCTTTGAAACTGTAGGATTCCCACGTGCTACACACTGGACACACCCAAATGACAACCGAACTTCGCACTCCCGAGCGTCCCCAGCAATCTTGAGTCTTGGTGACCCCTCCCTCAAGAGTCTGGCAGTCTTAGTCCAGTGAGTCTTGGGGAGGGACTCAGGGCATAGTGGCCCAGGGCTGGAGGACAGGGAGACTGAGCTGAGCCCAGAGCTTCCATCCCCGGACCTCCTCGGTGGGAGGCTCACGTTTGCGTGGGGGCGCAGGGGAGGGACACCCCCTCCCAATCCTGGAGGGGGGACAGAAACGGAGGGCCGCAGCTTCCACCAGAGGTGGCGCCCGATTAGGGCAAATTTTCGTCCCAGTCAGTTTGAGGACAAGAAGCGAGAGTCTAACCTTCGAGGCGCTGGGTAACGAAGGTTGAGGCCAGAGGTGGCGCTAGTTCAGGAACTTTTAACTTTAACGTGTATAGTTGCTAGAAAATTGTGGGTCATTTGCCAATTCCCCCTCTAAGCCCCCTAGTCTTGCACGTCCTCCCCCAGGTGCACAACCCGTCGCCAGGACACGTGGCGCAAACCCAGCTCTCTTTGCCCTGGCGTGGCGGCGAGCTTCCGCTCACGATCCGGGGAATCCTCAGGCGTTTTGGCGCTAAGAGGAGCCCCCCCCTCCCGCTCAGGCTCCCTTTCCCAGCCCTAGAAGCCATTCTTGGGTTTTAAAAAGTCCATTACTCCAAAAGCATAAGGCGAGGTTAGGTCTCAGAGGGAGACAAATATGGTTTCCATCTGATCAACGCCGTGCGGCGGTGAATAAAATCGTGAGGACGTGGGCTGACAACAACAAGAGACAACTCTATCCAGACCCAATTCTCCAGCGATTTGGTGGTTTTAGGGATCACGGAGACACTTTTTCTTATCTCCTTCCCTCACCCCACCCCCAGCCCCCACAATACCCGGGCCCTCTATAGGATTTAGTCAGTCTCTTTTTCAACAGATGCTACAATGTTTTGATCTGCGCTCCAAAGCTGAAAAGGTGCCGCAACCGGGTTGCTATCTTTTCTTGCTTGTTTTCCGCCTCACTGATTAAGACACTAAGAAACTAAGGAATGATTTTATTTCCCAGCGTCTTTATTTTTTTTTTTCTTCTCTCTCTCTTCTCCTTCTTCCAGGAAACAAATCCTATCCCCAGCGTCAGATGGTCCTGGGGTTGGGATAATGGGAGGCGCTTTCACTCGCCTTCTTACGGATTAGGCTAGAAGGTAGACGGCACCCATTGAAGGGACCTTCTTTGGGAGCCTCTGAGGGGGCGCCTTTTAAAGAAGATATCTTAATTGTCTACCACTTAGGTTTATCATGTGGGGAATTTGAGTTCCAGCTTCTTGTTTTATTTTGTTAAAAGCTTTAAGGTAAAGCCTCTAAATGAAAAAAAAAAAAAGTGCCAAATCTAAGAGTGACCGTTTGGTCTCCGCCTGGCTGCAAACTGTTGCTACTTTTAAAGTACTAAGCAAACTTTCAAGGGTGCAGCTTGTACTGAGGGGTCAAGTAGTGGAGGGGGTCCTGCAGTCATGGGTTTCTTCATACTGGTCTCTAATTCCACCTTATTTTTTTTTTTTTAAGATTTAAAAGCTTAAAAAAAATTTTCCTATTGGCTTTTCTCCTTTTAAATGCCAGTTCTGGGTCGTTATCAAATGATGCGCATATGTGTAAGACACTGTGTGTGTGTGTGTGTGTGTGTGTGTGAGAGAGAGAGAGAGAGAGAGAGAGAATGAGAATGAATATGATTATGAATCTCCGGTGTTTTTAAAATTAGGAAAATGACAAAAGAGGCAAAGGAGAGCAGAGAATGCTGTCTGCAGGGGGTCTTTTGAGGGAGACCTAGGCAGCTTTGTTTAATTGGCAAGACTGAATGAACCAGAAAAGGGACTGGGGGTGGCACCTCCTGGAAAGCAGGGGCATGAGTGACGATCTGGGGAGATAGGGACTGTGTTTTCCTCAGGGACCCCCCCCACCCTAAATTCCTGAGGTGCCCAGAGTTTTGTATTTTCCAAAAGCAAAAACCCACTGGCTTTTCTGGTTGACAAAAAATGGTCAACCTTTCTAGTCTACCTGGTTCACCAAAACCCCAAATAAGGAGGGGGGCAGCCCTTCATTTCTTCCCTTGAAAAACATTCTGAGAAGTCACTCAGAAACTTGAAGCAGTGAATCAGCACAGACACTTGTGCCTGCCCACGTGAGTCCTGAGTTGTGAGTGTGTCTGCCTCAGCAAAGTAACCCTCCCCTACCCCCCACCTTCCTGGCCTCTGTCTCTTTTGAGCCTACTTTCTCCCTCCTCCCTCCCATCATTGGTCCCATTTCCCTCCCCCACCCCCAATACAAGTCTCCATCCTGCCTCCCCCCACCACATACACACCGGGCCTCATCCCCATCCACCCTCCCTACCTCCTCCCTACCCCCTACCCTGGCCCCCCATCCACCCTCCAGCCCCCCAGCCAAGCGCCCTAAATAGCACTGAGGCGCCTGCTCTTTGGACAGTGATTAATGATAGCAGAGCAGAGGGGTTAACACACTTCACTGAAAAGTCTGTTGACTGGGCTTCTTGTAACACAATGTGGCCCGCTGCACGCCTCAAGAGAATCCTTTTGTTGTCCGCGCTCATTGTAGCCTCAAAATTCTGCCCACGAAAGTTTGCCAACGCTCCTGCCCCAGGAGTTTAATAGTTTCCCTTACTCACAGGGCATTGTGCAGCGCTGAAAAGCAGCCCCTCGCTATTCAAGTGTTGGTGGTCATCTCAATAGATCTCCAAGGGCCCATATGGTGGCCAGTGCCGATGAATCCGCCTGTTTAAATGCGGGAGAAAGTTGGGGTTTTAAAACATTTCAAAGTTCCTGAAAAGATCCCACTAGATCCTGTCACAATTCCCTGAACTCTTTGAAGGCACTGGCTATTGTCTCCCGGTTATAAATGATATTCCTAGCCAAGTCGATTCCCACCAAGGCATTCTTAGTGACCCCTCCCCCAGCAACTGGCCAGGTTTCCAGGATAAGGAGTTCAGCAGCCCTGCTGATATCCCTTGGGAGCCTTAGGACTGAAGGCCTAGGACTCAGCCGGCAGTAGCCCTGGACACCCAGTTGGGGCCTGAGTCCTTCCCTTCCCACAGGCTTTGGCCTCATAGGCAAGGTGCAAGAGATTAGAGACAGCTAGCTAAAGAGCACATCTTGCCCTCCAAGCAGCAAGGGAAAACAATAAAACTTTCCCCTGTTTAATGATAGAAATTACATTAAAAGTGGTGGAAATGCCCTAATTAAAAATGTACCACTTAAATGATATGCCAAAGATTCAGCTGCAGCATAGCATATTTAGCTAGTTAGTGAACTCTCTACTATTTCTTTTTTAAAATTACACGTTAAAAATTTAAAAGAAATCTTACTTTTCTCTGGTGCAACACATTACAAAGAATGGACAGTCCTTTTATCTAAATATAAAATTCCATTTTCAGCAATTATAGCCTGTTCTTGGTGATGATATAATTACAGCTGTGCTCGTAATAGGTGTCAAGGCGAAGCGCACTCATACAATAGTTGAATAAAACTGCAGAACAATGCAAGCACTTCTAAATTCACAACCTTTAAAATGAAATTGACTGTGCAGAATTCAAATAAAAACTAGATAAATATTTTTTTAAAAAGATTACAAGCTTGGTTTGGTTTCTTAATAGCATTTTCTACAAACCTATCAACATCTAATTGATTAGATAGGAATTACTGATTATAGATCAACTGAAATCTTGAACATCACTCTTCTATTTTCCCAACACAGCCATAGGTAAATACGTTCTGTAGGGAAAGGGAACTGAGCGGGGTTTGGGGGGCTTTAGGGTTACTTAGGGAAGATCATTTTAATTGGAAACTTCAGTGCTTCTTTTGTCAAAGAAATGCCAAAGTGTGTGTACTGTAAAGACTCATCTTGATAAAAATACAGAGAAAAAAATGTTGACCACATAACTAATGTCATAAATGTCTCTTAATTGAAAAAAGATTGACACTTAGTTACCTTGAGAATGTTTTGGTGAAACTGTCAGAATATACTGTTGTTGGAGTTTTTAAGACTATACCACATCCCTTTTGGAGGCTACAAGTCATTCCAAATCTTCTCTTACCATCCTATTCTTTTTGTTTCAGATGGCTGCCAGCAACAGGAAGGAGGGGGAGAGAATACCAACTCCATCAGCTCCAATGGAGAAGATTCAGATGAGGCTCAAATGCGACTTCAGCTGAAGCGGAAGCTGCAGAGAAATAGAACATCCTTTACCCAAGAGCAAATTGAGGCCCTGGAGAAAGGTGATAGAGTTTTTTAAAGCAGAGAAGCCGTAAATCAAAGTAAATGCCACATCTTTAGTACAAAGAGCTAAATTTAGCCAGGCCCTTTGCATAGAGGACTGAAAAGGTTTCTTTTTTCTTCCTGTCTTTTTATTTTCTCTGGGCATCTTTTCAGTGTGTGTGTGTGTGTGTGTGTGTGTGTGTGTTTTCTTTCTTCTTTTCATGTTCCAGTAATTCAAAGACTAGAAGTCTAACATATAAGAGAAAAATGATGATTTGGCTATTTCAGGTCATTGATGGGTCATTGAATGTCATTCCAGAGAAAATTTAACTTGGTTCTTGGTTCTGGTGGGAAAGTTCTTTCAAGTATAGTCAAAACTAATAGCCAAAAGATTTTAAGGGGAATTGATTGGGGGTGATGGGAGTGGAGAGGTGGGAACCAGCTTGATCCAGAGCTTGGTCAATATATTTTGCGTAGTTTTCTCACAATATAGGAAATCAACTTACTCTTTCAGAGTTTGAGAGAACCCATTATCCAGATGTGTTTGCCCGAGAAAGACTAGCAGCCAAAATAGATCTACCTGAAGCAAGAATACAGGTACCCAGGGACTGTGTGGTGTCATGCTTTGTGGTTCATACCATTTGCCTTTCCAAGACACAAAGGTGCTTCTAAAGGGTAACATTATTTTATATAAATAGTAACAGGTTCAGTCTGCTAAGTAATCTGCTGCCGTGGAGGTAGGGAGGGCGGCAATGGAAGAGCTGGGCTGGGGATGGGCTTGGGTTGGCATAGTGCTAATCTGTTCTGTCTGCTTCCTAGGTATGGTTTTCTAATCGAAGGGCCAAATGGAGAAGAGAAGAAAAACTGAGGAATCAGAGAAGACAGGCCAGCAACACACCTAGTCATATTCCTATCAGCAGTAGTTTCAGCACCAGTGTCTACCAACCAATCCCACAACCCACCACACCTGGTAATCTGAAATACTAATACTGTTAATAAGTTGTTTAAACCTGTTTGCTCTGGGCTCTGACTCTCACCATGACTATCCGTCATTTTTCTCTTTCTCTCCAGTTTCCTCTTTCACATCTGGCTCCATGTTGGGCCGAACAGACACAGCCCTCACCAACACATACAGTGCTCTGCCGCCCATGCCCAGCTTCACCATGGCAAATAACCTGCCTATGCAAGTAAGTGAGGCTGGCGGCTGCCTGCGGAACCGGTGCCCCCAAGAAGCCAGGGATAGGTTGGGGTCTGCAGACCTCACTGGCTACTTCTGCACTCTTGGGAGCCTTTTGCACTGTAGTGATTGGCCTGACCAGTCAAGTCTGAGATAGTCAATCAAATGTGTTTTAATTGATTGACTCATTCATCCACACTCTTAAAAAAAAAAAAATCCTGACCCCTTCAGTCAAGTTAATCAGCCTTTTACCATAACGTTAGCTTGACCATGTTGGGTGGTGCTGGGTTGTGTTTTGGGGAGCAGTGAAACTTGTACCAGAAAGTAGAAATAATGCTGATACCTTGTGAGATGGTAAGAAGTTAGTATTTTTAAATTTGAGTTTATATTAAATATGTTCATATTAATAAATTAATAATCTATATGCTTTGGGGGAATTATTCAGGGTATATATGATAAACTAATGAGGAAGAAAAAAAGGATCAGATATGGGATTTTTACATAGTAAGATATATTTAGTCTAGTAGGAAAGCTAGTTTTCTCTCTGTGTCTTACAATAACAAAAGGCATAGAAGGAATTTGCTGGAAATTTAGTGTGTCTTTGGTGTGAATTGTGTAATGCAAGGGTCCTCAAACTTTTTAAACAGGGGGCCAGTTCACTGTCCCTCAGACCATTGGAGGGTTGGACTGCCGGCCCTGGGATGAGTTGGCTGCTAAGCGAGACAGGCAGCCGTGGCAAAAACACCTGGCAGGCCGGATAAATGTCCTCGGCGGGCCGCATGTGGCCTGTGGGCTGTAGTTGGAGGACGCCTGGTGTAATGAGTTTGTGGTCTTTCTCCATGCCTGGGAAGCCTGATGTTATTCACTGGGTATAATAACCTGCCTCTTCTCTTAATTCTGTCTGAAATGTCTGTTAGGCCCTACATTGTAAGGCTCTGTGTTAGGTTCATCCTTTATGATATAAGGATGTATAAGGCAGGTATAAGGCAGGTGGGGTGTGTTAGACCTTTTGTTACTGGATGAGTTCTTGTTGGGAAAAAAAAAAAATCCTTCTTCTGATGGGCCTTCCACATTGGTTTTCCTGGGATTCCTGTTTGTGCAACAATTAGAGATGTCGGATGGTGTGAGATTGGCCAGCATGTGCCTCTGCTGGAAGCAGTTCTGGGGTTACACAGATTGTTTATTCTCCACTGAACAGCTTTTGCTGGATTTCAAATCCAAATTACAGCAAAATAAATGTTTCTCGGTCTTTAGACTAATATAGGAGCAGCTAGATAAGCAAGTTCAGAGGAATTATTCACATGTTTATTTTTATTGTATCTGGATATTAATGGCGATAGTGCAATTGATGTAAATTAAGGGATTAATAGCCCATTAGTTGGTGTTGCTATAACTGCCTTGGAATTTTCCAGAAGTCAGTTTGCCTAGAGGAAGTGATTGCAGGAATTAGAAACAAATGCAAGCTGAAATTCTGACAGGGCCCTCAAGGCTTGTTTGCCTCTTTGAACTTAATGTTGGCAGTCATCATCTGACTTTAATAAGGCCACAGTATCTTGTTCAGTTTCATATAGTGCAGCAATACCCAAGTTTTTAAGAAGACAGCAAAATGTGTTACTGCTATTCTGTTAGAGTTGTTTCCAAATACACAGTGGTGTTGGGGAAAACACAGACTTCCAAAAATTACAGGTCTTACATAATTCAAAAAGCATATGCATTAATAAAGCATAAAGAAAAAAATGATTAATAATTTTACTGTTCAGAGGAAAGTACTCTTTGAATTTTGGTGTAGATGGACCAGTCTATTTGACCATCTATTCATTCTGTTGAACAAAATCTTCAGTCTTCAAAACCATTTTATCTATTTATTTATTTATTTATGACAGTGTCTCACTCTGTTGACCCTGGGTAGAGTGTCAAGGTGTCATATAGCTCACAGCAACCTCAAACTCTTGGGCGTAAGTGATCTTTCTTGCCTCAGCCTCCAGAGTAGCTGGAACTATAGGCACCAGCCACAATGCTGGCTAGTTTTTCCATTTTTAGTAGAGACGCGGTCTCGCTCTAGCTCAGGCTGGTCTTGAACTCATGAGCTCAAGCAATCTACCTACCCTGGCCTCCCAGAGTGCTAGGATTACAGGTGTGGCCACTGCAACTGGCCCCAAACCATCTCATAAAGGGTAAATATCTTCCTTTGAATCTTCTCTGCTGTGTCACTTTCTCTGAGAATGTGGATCTTGGAATGTTAAACATTTCTCCAGTTTGCAGAGAAGTGTAGTACACTGTACTATGATCTTGGGTGCTCCTAACTTTATGCTTCTGTTAATTCATCCCATGTTTGTTGCCATGGTATTGCTCCATGAGAGCTCATGAGAAGTTTTGTTGCAGCTTTGCATATTTCTTAGTTAAGAGAAAGGTTTGTCTCTACGGGTCTGAACGCTTAGAGGGTAGCAACAGAATTTTATGGTTAAACCGAGCTTGGGTTTTTGGGTCTCATAGGAGGTCACAGTTAATTCTCAGGATGGGGTTGGGTTGTAGTTACTAACACTTCTGGCCATTTTTTACCTGAGATCATTATGGATCTGCCTCTTCAATGTATCTTCAATCTCAGGTGTCTAGCTGTGAAAGGTTCCTGAGATCCTTAAACCACAATTTACTGAGAGCTCTACCCACTGTTCTCTGCCCTAAACCTTGAAATATGGGATTTGGAGGGTCTCAGGGCTCTAGATAGACCCAGATCTGTAGGAGGGGAGGTGTGCTTTAATGGAGGTGCTTATGCTGTAGGTTCTTTAAAGAGCCAGCAGAGGTTAGAGATGAAAATGGACAAAAGTCCTCTAGCTTTATGGATAGTGCCAACTTTTGTTTGAATTCACAGTGCCTTACAAGTTTGATGTGCTGACAAGTTTGCTCTAATGGCCAATGGAAGGGATAAGTTGGAGTCCCCATCATAGATTTATCATATGGAATTCCAATACTTAACATGAAGGCATTCTTAATGATAAGACTTATTGGTAGAGTTCCTGGGGAGGAGGGAGCCTTGGAGATAGGGCTGTGTGACTTGCTTCTCAGTAACCACAGGTTTGCCTTTCTCCTCACAGCCCCCAGTCCCCAGCCAGACCTCATCGTACTCCTGCATGCTGCCCACCAGCCCTTCGGTGAATGGGCGGAGTTATGACACCTACACCCCCCCACATATGCAGACACACATGAACAGTCAGCCAATGGGCACCTCGGGCACCACTTCAACAGGTGAGCCACTGTTCTGCAGGCTGCACACAGGCTACACACAGAGCTTCTTCTGCCAGGTGATCTCTCTTCAAAAAGGAACCTCCTAGCCTGGAACCCAGGGTGTGCTTAACTCTTTGCTGCCCTCATCTCTGGAAAAAACTAATTGAAAAGGGAAATTCAATTAAGCTAGTTAGTAACTTGACACCATACAGACAACAAACAAAGTTGTTTTTCCTGAATTTGTTCACAAATGCTGTGCATGTAGACAAGGCCTGAGACTGTAGGTTTTCATAGGGCAGATTATTAGCACAGCAGTGGGGGCTAAGGTGTGCAGTGAGTGCTCCTTCAAAGACATTTCACCTTCCCAGCCCCTACATGCCTTCCATTGCACCTGCAGAAGTACCAAGCTGGTTTTCCAGAGAGAGCTTTATTGCTGAAGTTCCAAGCATGCAAACAAATAGAGAGTTTTTAAAATTTTATTTTGGGTGAGGGGTATGTATAAACTTGTCTAGTTTCTGAAACTGCTTTTTTTGGTAACAGTTAAGATGTTTTTTAATACATTAAAAAACTTAGAAAGTATCAGAGATTTTAAAAGACTTATGAATTCATATTCCATGCCCATCTCTTGAAGGGAATATCTACATAGCTATTTCTTTCATCCACTTTCTAGGACTCATTTCCCCTGGTGTGTCAGTTCCAGTTCAAGTTCCCGGAAGTGAACCTGATATGTCTCAATATTGGCCAAGATTACAGTAAAAAAAGAAAAAAAAAAAAGAAAAGGAAAGGAAATATGGTGTTAATTCAGTCAGTGACTATGTGGACACAACAGTTGGGCATTCAGGAAGGAAAGAAAATGGCTATTAGAAGCACTTCAGTTCTACAACTGTGTCCTGTATTGCACCACTGGGGAATGGACTTGAAACAAGGACCTTTGTACACAGAAGGCACAATATCAGTTGGAACAAATCTTCATTTTGGTATCCAAACTTTTATTCATTTTGGTGTATTATTTGTAAATGGGCATTTGTATGTTATAATGAAAAAAAGAACAACGTAGACTGGATGGATGTTTGATCTATGTTGGTCATGAAGTTGTTTTTTAAAAAAGAAACCATGATCAATAAGCTTTGCCACGAATTTAAGAGTTTTATCAAGATATATCGAATACTTCTACCCATCTGTTCATAGTTTATGGACTGATGTTCCAAGTTTGTATCATTCCTTTGCATATAATTAAACCTGGAACAACATGCACTAGATTTATGTAAGAAATATCTGTTGGTTTTCCAAAGGTTGTTAACAGATGAAGTTTATGTGCAAAAAGGGGTAAGATATAAATTCAAGGAAGAAAAAAGTTGATAGCTAAAAGGTAGAGTGTGTCTTCGATATAATCCAATTTGTTTTATGTCAAAATGTAAGTATTTGTCTTCCCTAGAAATCCTCAGAATGATTTCTATAATAAAGTTAATTTCATTTATATTTGACAAGAATACTCTATAGATGTTTTATACACATTTTCATGCAATCATACGTTTCTTTTTGGCCAGCAAAAGTTAATTGTTCTTAGATATAGTTGTATTACTGTTCACAGTCCAATCATTTTGTGCATCTAGAATTCATTCCTAATCAATTAAAAGTGCTTGCAAGAGTTTTAAACTTAAGTGTTTTGAAGTTGTTCGCAACTACATATCAAAATTAACCATTGTTGATTGTAAAAACCATGCCAAAGCCTTTGTATTTCCTTTATTATACTATTTTCTTTTTAACCTTATAGTGTGGTGTTAAAAATTTTGTTTCCATGTTAGATTAACACTCTAAATCAGTGGTTACTTTCATACATGCTCTATTTTACATCCTGATGATCTTTACAGAAGTAATTCCTACAGATATCATAAATCAAAATGTTAGAAAAAATTCCCTTTAATGCTCTGTGCAGAGCTGTGTCCTTTTATATATACAAAATGGTAACATTTTCCAGTTAGCCATTTAATTCAAAAGCTCAAAGTCCAGAAATAATTTAAAAATGCAACAAGCTATTAAGTAGGAATTGTTTTTTGAATTAGAGCTGGCACTTTCAATCTGGGCAGATTTCCATTGTCAGCCTATTTCAACAGTGATTTCACTGAAATATATTCAAAAGTAGATTTCTTAAACGAGACTCTCTGAAAGCTGTTGCCTTTCTCAAATAGGCCCTCTCCCTTTTCTGTCTCCTTCCTCTTTGCACAAGAGGCATCATTTCCCATTGAACCACTACAGCTGTTCCCATTTGAATCTTGCTTTCTGTGCGGTTGTGGATGGTTGGAGAGTGGAAGGGGGGATGTTGCATGTCAAGGAATAATGAGCACAGACACATCAACAGACAACAACAAAGCGGACTGTGACTGGCCGGTGGGAGTTAAAGGCCTTCAGTCATTGGCAGCTTAAGCCAAACATTCCCAAATCTATGAAGCAGGGCCCATTGTTGGTCAGTTGTTATTTGCAATGAAGCACAGATCTGATCATGTTTAAAGTGGCGGCACGCAGGGCAGGATGCAGAGCGCAAGCAAAGGATGGAAAAAAAATAAGCCTTTGTTGGGTTAAAAAGGCCTGTCTGGGACTTTTATTTGTCTGTTCTGTGCAACATATAAGTCAATATAGATAAGTTTTCTTCTGCAAACTGAACGTTAAAAAGCCGGGGGGGTTCTGACAGTCTGGATTAAAATGCTAGCATATTCAGAAACCTCTGGGGACAAAGACACACTTCCACTGAATTGGGCCCTTATTTCTCCTTTTTAATTTTTTTAATCACCAAAAGCAAATGATTAGACATATAGAAATTAAATGGAGGATTTAAACTTTTTTATTTTTTTAAATTTCAAATGATTTGAGAATACAAATTTTTAGGTTACATTGGTCTTACTTCCAAGGTAAAGTTCAAGTTGTAGAAGAGCCCTTACCCAGGGGGCGTGTTGAACACCCTCCTATCATGCACATTAGATGAGATCCCACCAATTGCCCTCCCCTTCCCCTCTCCTTCCTCACCCCCCCCCCGCCCCCGAGGATTTAAACATAATGTTCTAGTTCAACAGCTACTGTTTTTCAGTTAAGGAATTACTGTAAACAGATAATTGAGATTTATCATTCTGGAATTCAATATCCCAGTAATTTTATTCCATCAGAGTTGCTGCATACTTAAAGATATCTTCCTAAGTTGATGGCAGTTTTTGTACATGTTCATGTAGTTTTGGTCCTTGTCAGCTTGCAATGCACAATGGCATACTTATGCAGGGAAGCGCGTGTACACATACACACACAGTTGGTACAATTGCCCGTACAGACATTTCTACCTCCTGACATTTTGCGGCCTACATTCCCTGAGGGATGTGTACTGAGGGAACTGTCAAGAGAAGGGCTCTGTGGGAGTGTGCTGCAGCTGCTGGCTGGCTGGCTGGCTTCTTCCCTGCAAGAAGGGTCACTTTCCAGATGGTTATGATTTGGGCCTGGGTCAGGCAGCCAATCTTGGATCATCCCTACTCTGTTGGGTAGACTGTGGAGACTTTGGAGATCTGGGTATGGCACATTAGGTATAAGAGCCGGGAATGGGAGGAGTGATATGGGAGCTGAGGGTCTGCACGTGCGCACTTGGGCATGTACACATGTCCTCTGAGGGTCAGGATTGCCAGGGCAGAGTGGCACATCCTGGGTTAGTCTGGAGAAGTGGCTGCTCAGATGCAGAAGCCCTCGGTCCAGCAAAACACGAACGGCTGCCTCGCCTTCTGCCCACACCCCCAGGGACACGAGCTGTCTTTCTGAACAGAGTTCCAGACACTCTCTCAGGCACAGGATGGCAGGCACTGTGTGGTAGCAGTGCTTGGGAGTCGGCCTTTTACTCATTGTTGAAATAATTTATTTTTGTTTATTTATTTACTGATAGGTATATTTATATATATATCAACCAGAAATCTGCAGGGAAATTTTGATGCCATCTTCCAAGATGGAGACTATTTGTGAAGTCCTCAGTAAAAACACTGGATTAACAACTTAAAATTATTCTTCAAATTGGACTGACTTTAGGGAAACCAGGTGAACACAATTAGAGCTGAATGTATAAATGGTAAACATTCAAAATACTCTAAGTAAAAAATTCTTTTTACTGAAACTAATTTCCAGAATATTTCCCCCCCAAAGTTGTGCTTCCTAATTCTTAAATGGTAAACAACTGGCTTTTTTGATTTGGCCCAGATAACCATTTCTTCCTACTTTTTATCTTAACTGGGTTTGCTAAGACTCATTTATACAGTATTAAGATTCAGTTTTGTTCTGTGAATGTTTGTCACCTTATGTCTGTATTCTTCTGCTTACTTCTTTTTGCTATGGCCCTTATTAACAAGATTAAAAAAAAAAAAGGTTTTTCTGCTATGTGAGTTTGGATCACCAAGGCCAAATATATTCTTTTCTGTTTCTTAAGAACAAACCTTGTCTATTTTGGGGCCTTGGTCTTGAATGACTAAATTGCTCAGTTTTAAAGTTCAAGGTGTAAGTACTTAGAGTTAATATTGCTTCGTTTTGATACTGTTGATGGTGACTATCGTTGCAAAGCAGTAACACGATGTCTTAGAAATGACATTAATGATGAGCCTAAACAAATGGGAGAGGGGTCCCCCATTCTCTTTTTGTATGTGTGTGTCTCATTTGTTAGAATTAAAAGATAGACAGGGAATTGATTGCAGATGTCACTTCCTTTTAAAGTAGTTTCATTTTGTCTAGCATTAGCATTTACAGATCCTAGAGGTAGAAATACAGAATAAATGGAAGGAAGAGAAAAGTGGACATTGTATGATGGCTACTAACCCTGAGCAGACTGTAGTAGTCAAAATATTTACCTCATGTTAAAGAAAGACAAATCCAGGATAAGAAATGAATGCCCTGTAGGGTTTTCTAATTCATGTATGAGAAACATTTGAAAGATATAAAGACATTTCAGATACTATGTTTGGCATTGTTTTTAAGTACTTGTATCTTTGAGTTAAGTTGGTAATTGAAAAAACTCTGTTACTAGAGTGTATATTTCATAATGTATTGAAATGGTATCTGTACCTACAGTAGCATTATTGAAGACCATTATTTTTATGCAGTAAGTCATTAGCATAATGGATAACAAATAGTGCTTTCAGAAGGAAAAAACCCACATTTTTAAAAATGGGTTGTTATCAGAGGAAAATAGAATATACATCTCTCTCTGTAGCTTATTTTTTACAAAGCCTGGTCAGTGAATCAGAAAAACAAAGCACTTGGATCTGATTTTTGGAAAGCCCAGGTACTCTTACCATTCAAAATGTACTTTTACTGAGTTTGAAAAGTTTCTTTTATATTTAAAACAAGGGTTCAAGTATGCACATTCAATTTTTATAGTATTTATCTATTTGCAAAGCATATATTAACTAGTAATTGGCTGTTAATTTTATAGACATGGTAGCCAGGGAAGTAAATCAATGACCTATTAAGTATTTTGACAAGCAATTTACATATCTGATGACCTTACATCTCCTTTTCAGAGTCAAATGCTATGTAATTGTTCCGTCCTGTGTTTGTATAAAATGAATCACAACATGGTAAGAAAAAGGTTAGAGTTATTAAAATAATAACCTGACTAAAATATTCATTTGAATTTATTCAGATTGTTCATAATGCTTTCAAAGGACATATCAAAGCTTTTGTGGAGAATCTGCACAATATTATTTATTATCTATGGACTACATCGATTTTTTTGAAGTTGC